GGGACTTCCCGTTTTGTAGTGGACATATCAACAGATGAGTAGGAACAGACGTTTCGCTGAGGATATTCGTCTGGCTTGTGATGGGGAAGTGTTTTGGCCGGGGCTGTAGGTTTCGAGGTTTTGAAGAGTATTTTTTATTGGTTTGTTTCCGGGTGATACGTTGGCTGCGGCTTTTGGCACCGAAAAGCACTGCCCATGTCCTTTGCTTAAGTTAAAAGCACAAACTTTTAAGCTCCTACACTTATGTGCAGTTCAAATTCACTAAAAACCGAGATATTTTTTTGGTTGTTCTGAATCGGCTACCTCTTTATGCTGTAGCAATTTGTCGTATGAAGTAAGAAATGGGAACTTGACCTGGAACGAAACATTGGGGCATGCCTGTGGCGCCAACTGCAGATAGACGGTGTGGACTTGCAAGAAATTGAGACAGATATGCGCCCGAATTTGGAGGTTGCACACAGAAAAGCTGCCGTTTGGCGCAAATTCCACAGCGCTAACCGACGTTTTTAAAATGCCGTACACCAGCAAGGACCCCCATGACTGCTTATGCATTTACGTTCTGCTGAAGTTCCTGTACCGTTCGAGGATGTTATTGTTTCGGGTTTTTTTTTTGTAATATTCGAAAACTAATTTCAGGGCCTGGAAGAATAGCCCCAGCCGTACGTGAAATGGCGGATGAGGAGCGCTCACGACGTGGTCTAAATCCAAACGCCCAAGCATTTGTGCCCAATCCGGAGGCGCGCCCGTTCATTCCCGGGCAGCCCTATATTTTTGCGGCCCCTCAGCCGGCCTTCAGCCACCCGCCACCGGCCACCGCGCAGCCCTTCCCAATGTACCAGCAGTACGTGCATATGGCCCCATCTGCGGTTGCTGCAGGTCAGCGGTTTGGAGTGGAGCAACCGTACATTCGGCATCCCGAACAACCTGCCGTACCGTTCCCTGAACAGCAATCACAGGAGCCACCTGCCCAGTGTTAGTTATTTGACTTTTTTTTTAAAGGCTTTTAATATTATAATTATTATTATCACTATTATTTTTATTATTGTTATCATTATTATTATTGTTATTATCATCATTATTGTCATTGTTGTCATTGTTATTATTATTAATATTATAATTGAATATGTTTATAAATAGCTTCTGGTCCATTGCGATTCATTTTCGCGCCACTTCTAGAACTGGTAATCGAACCAAAGTAACTCGATGGTAGTTTGCCGGCGACCCTAACGTTTTTGTTTCTCTTTTACTTTTTGCAAGGGTAAGTGCGAAGCCGATTGTAGCAACCAGGTTCACCCTGGAAGCCTAGATAGTGAAGGCGCGATAGATTACAGCATGAAAGAACAGTGTGAGAAAAGAGGGCAAAAGTGAGATAAGACGTTTCGGCCCATTAAGTCGTCATATATGTCTTAACTCAACACTGCGACAGGACCTCGTCTGTGTGACAGTAGCAGTGCTTAATGGAAAAGGAAAAGGTAATGAAAAAAACAGTAAGAAGCAGAATTTGAATGTAAATTTGTCCTGTCTCGTCGCGTTCATTTATGACTCTTGTGCTCATCTTTATTAACTACAGACGTTTTGTTCCGCCTTTTACAGCTTGGGATGATGATGTGGAGGAGGATGAATCTGTAGAACAAAATGAAGCTCTACGAGGTCTTTCCCAAGGAGACGTCGAGCACGCAGCCATCAAGGTGATTTTCATATTTTTCTTTCTACTTTTTTCAGATAGTTTTTTTTTTACATTAATCTTATGA